AACAACAGATCAGCAGCAGAGTAACCTTTCCTGAAGCCATATTGACGGTCACAAAGTAGTGAGTGGTAGTGGAAAAACTTTGTCATTTGTCTTGAGATTATTGTCTCAAGGAGCTTGCCAGTGATTGACAGGAGTGACACTGGTCTGTAGTTGCTGATTTCTGCTCTGCTCTTCTTTTTGTGAGCAAGGACTACATTTAACACTCCACAGAGAAGGCCATTTACACTGTACTAGGCAGTGCTGAAAGATGCAAGTTAGAAGTGCTGCTAGCTGGTCTGCACATCTCACCAATCTTGGGCTCAAATTGTTTGGGCCCACAGCCTTTTCTTAGTCAAGCGATTTGAGAAGGAAATGCACCTCCTCCTGCCTAATTCTCACCACTGACAGTTTTGACACAGTTCTTGCAGCTAGCCAAGGAGAGTCCCTTGCAGGATCAGGAACTTGCATTTTGGTAGCAAAATGTTCGGCAAAAAGGTCCGCTTTCTCTTGACTACTAGCAGAGGTGGTCCCATTCTGTCGATTTAGAGGTGGAATGAGTTCATCAGGCAGATTACCTTGTCTGTCTCTGACCAGGGACCACCAGGTTTTGGAGCCTACTCTATCTGATGCTAGCTTTCTTTTTGTGTCCACCTCCCATTTAGCGATGGCCCACTTTTGAACTTCACCCATATGCCTACAGGCTTGCCTGTGCAATTTGCTGATATAGGTGGTAGGATGTTTCTTATACCTTCGCCATGCCTTGTACTTAGCAGTAGCAGCCTCTCTACAACGAAAGCCAAACCAAGGTTGATCTGTAGGCTTCGTCACATATTGCCGGTGAGGGATGTGTTCTTGTTCATTCCAGTCGGTAGTGACGAGCTCAGAGCAAAGGGCTGGCCAATTACCTCTTTCCCATAGCCAGGTTGTGCGTGTGGACTCCTCGCCTCGTTCTGTTGGGATCTTAAGTGTCGTAAAAACAGCCTTGTGGTCAGACGATCCAATATAACCAATGGGTTGACAAGGGTGACAAGTGACTATACCTTCTGCCAGATCACTCACTACTGGGTCAAGGGAGGAGCCAGAGATGGGAGTAGGGAAATCAACAAAGTTTCTCATGTCAAACACCACAAGAAAGTCATGAAAGACCCTCTGTATGAGGTGTTGGTTGAGATCACCAACAATTATAGTATGTTGACAGTTGTGTTGGAGCAGAAAGGAGTCCACATTTTCCATTAGGAAGTTGATGGGCCTGCATGTTGCCACCGAGGTCTGTACATTGCACGAAGTAGTAGAGAGGTACTAGTGTTTATGCATAGCTTGAAGAACATCATTTCAAGATGAGTAGGTGTGTAAGGCATTGAAGGTGCCTGCCCTTGAGAGGTAGGGCACCGAGGCAGCTGCTGGGATGTAGGTCTGTGGTCTTGTAAAGGCACAATACCACCTGCTGCGCTGAGATAGGAGTAGCTGAGCGGGTAACGTGTGTGTTCACCAATTCAGAGATCCTGCTGGTTTGTTCTGAGAACAGGTCTCGAAACAGGTGGTCCTGTCTGTCAAGTTCCTTTTTCTTCCGATACTGGTCCTCCTGATGTCTTTTCTTGTGACAGTAATTGCACTCGATATCTCGCAGGCGGTTGTTAGTGGTGTGCCCCCTCTGGTGACAGTGAGAGCACTGCCTAGGTGCCTGGGTGGAATCCTATCTGTTGTACCTCCTGTGTTTCGCAAATTTGTCCGCAGGTTCTGCCTCTGGGACTGTGTTGGTGGAAGATGAGACGGCTGTTGACGTCTTCCTCCTTCACGTTCTCTTCCACGCCTCTGTACAGTTCTGACAGATGTGTCCCTGCTGTTCGTATTTTGGCACAGCAGGTGGTCAGGTGCAGTGATAGTCTCCTGATTATTTACTACACCAATCTCTGGTGGAGAAAATCCTGAATCAGTACTTGCTGATGAAGTACTGCTGCTATATGTTCGAATAGTGTCAGTAGGTTGCTGACAGGTGTAGGATCAGAGATGGTATGTGCATTGTCTAGTGTACTGGCAGGTGCTGAAGCAGTGATGTCAGGTGTAGGAGAATTAACAGATCCAAGGCTTGCCTCGTTGCTGGGAAGAGGATCTGTTCCCTCTGTGGTGGTCAGAGGAATTGTGTTAGAATTCCCAAATGTAGTGTTTTGAGTTCTGTCTAACTGTGGAGCCTTAGCGATGACAGAATTCAACCAATTATTTACCTCTGAGTTGAACTCAGTGGGGGACTTCCAGTCTTTGTCAATAGTGTCACCATCAACTGAGCAGCTTGTGTCACTTGATGTAGGCTTGCACTGGCCTTCTACAATAGCTTGTAGGTTATCTAATGATTTGAGGAGCTCATGAAGTGCTTCCCTGTGATGGATTATCTTAGCTGCGACTTTACAACACAACACATGAGGGCAGTCTTGATCTTTGGAGACGAGTCCCTGAGGTACTTTTGAACCTTCCTCTTGTAACTCCAGGCTTGTTTCCACATATACCACAGGATTATGGATATCCTTCAATTTTCTGAGATTTTCTATCTGGCTGCAACAAAATTCTTCTGGAATGCAATCTGAGTGGCAGTAGTTGGAACAAGTAGGCTCCTTACATTAATAAAGTAGTATTTTGGCCCTTGTAGGATACTCACAAACACTGCAGTATCTACTGGGACAATAGCCAGATAGCGAAGATATTCTTGCTATTTTGCGATGTGAAGTCATCACAGATTAAGTGTTGTAAGTTTACAACGAAGTACAAGGGAGAGAGAGGGTGGTGGTATCGTAGGGGTGTTTACAATGGGATGGAAGGTGAGGACAGGCTGTGGGCTGGCAAGTTGCCTTCTCACTATCACTTAATAATCAACTGTTTATGCTGTCCACGTTTTCACCACAGGAAGATGTTACACAAATCACTATGCTACATTGTACAAGTCACGTTGTTATAAAGCACCCAGATGCTAGTACATATCACCAAAGAGATATAATATTAGATGCTCACTGTGAAGGCAGTGTGACGTCACTCCTAGGCCCCCTGCTGTCCCCTCACTCTCACCACATTGTTCACCAAAACACTCTTAAATATCACTGATTTTGCTTCTCTTTCTCCCCTCTCTCTCCTCTTTTCTCTCTCTCTCCTCTCTCTCTCCCTCTTCCTCCATCTCTCTTTCCCTACCTCTCTCCCAAACATACACACATACGGACAGGCTGCAGGCCTGGTCCGGAAACTGGCGTCTGGGGAAGGGCAAAGAAGACCGTAAACAGAATACAGTCTAGGGGGCCAGAGACTACAAACCTCACTAAAGGAAAAGGATTTTGGGGTGAGTATAACACCGAGCATATCTCCTAAGGTGCACATCAATCAAATAACTGCTACAGCATATGGGTGCCTTACAAACCTAAGAATAGCATTCCAACATCTCAATAAGGAATCGTTCAGGACCCTGTACACCGTGTATGTATGGCCTATATTGGAGTATGCAGCAACAGTTCGGAACCCACACCTATCCAGGCATGTAAGGAAATTAAAGTGCAAAGATTTGCAACAAGACTAGTCCCAGAGCTAGAGGGCATGTTCTATGAGGAGAGGTTAAAGGAAATCGACCTAATGACATTGAAGGACATGAGAGATAGGGGGGATATGATAACATATAAAATACTAAAAGGAACTGACAAGATGGACAGAGACAGGATATTCCAGAGATGGGACACAGCAACAAGGGGTAACAATTGGAAGTTAAAGACTCAAATGAATCACAGGGATGTTAGGAAGTATTTCTTTAGTCACAGAGTTGTCAGGAAGTGGAATAATCTGGGAAGCGATGTAGTGGAGGCAGGACTCATACATAGCTTTAAGAAGAAGTATGATAAAGTTCATTGAGCAAGAAGAGTGACCTAGCAGTGACCAGTGAAGAGGACGGCCAGGAGCTGTGACTCGACCCCTACAACCACAACTAGGTGAGTACACATACAACACACATGCAACATACAAAACACATACATACAACATAAAAAAAAAACACACACTCTGCACACAGCACTCACTGCACACACACTCTACACCCACACAGCATACACCCACACAGCATACACCCACACAGCATACACACACACACACACACACACACACTATAAAACCTAACTCATCAAAAATATAAAATAATGGGGGGGGGGCCCAGAGGGGTAGTCGAAGACTCAGAGGATCAGAGGAAGATGGCCCTGGAAAGGAAGAATGGATGGAAGAGCAATGTAAAAGAATGGAACAAGAGTGGAAAAGCAAACTAGATGAGTTTTCTGTGAAAATGGAGATGATGGAGGCAGAGAAGAGGAAATGGGAGTCACAAACCCTAGAGGATGAGGTAAATATGCTGAGGCGAGTTACAGTGCCAGTACCCAGAGGAGACGTGGCGATTGAAGTAGATACACCCTTATTATAGAAGCTACCCAGTATAGAGGAAGGAGACAAGACTTATGCTAAGGCCCTATCAGTCCTCCAAACAAGGTTGAGGAGTGAAGGGGGAGAGCTGTTGGGAGCAGTGATAACAGTAAGTGAGGGGGGTTGCAGATAGAGAAGATGACAGGTCCCATGCAGAGGCACGACCAAGCCACCGAGAGTTACAAGGAAAAAAATAAAGGGGACAATTGGCTACATACAAATGGGACCCAGAGACACAGAGAGAGAAAATGGGAGGGGAAGGAAAGGTTAGTCTTTATTCATGGGCTTCAGGGGAACGAAGGGAGGAGACACAATGAAAGACAGTAGAAAGAAAAACAAGAGATTGAAAACATCACCACACTCATAGTCCCTGCCATAGTAGAATCCCACAGCACCCTGCCAGGTCCCCCATTCCCAACTCCCACAAACCCCCCAGAACACAGTGTTGGAGAGGAAACTGAAGGTATGGTAAACTTAACTGGTGACACCCACAGATGGTTTAACTGTAGCTGGTGACATCCACAGGTGGTTTAACTGTAGCTGGTGACATCCACAGGAGGTTTAACTGTAGCTGGTGACATTCACAGGTGGTACTTTGGTAACATGACGAGGCAGGAGGCACATGCATATCTGATGAACACTTTCAACTCTAACGGAAGTTTCCTGGTACGCAACTCTGAGTCCACAACTGGATACTCCCTCTCAGGTGAGTGTTATCCCTCTCAGGTGAGTGTTATCCCTCTCAGGTGAGTGTTATCCCTCTCAGGTGAGTGTTATCCCTCGCGGGTGAGTGTCATCCCTCGCGGGTGAGTGCCATCCCTCGCGGGTGAGTGCCATCCCTCGCGGGTGAGCCTTATCACTCTTGGGTGAATGTCGTCACACTCGGGTGAGTGTCGTCACACTCGAGTGAGTCTCGTCACACTCGGGTGAGTCTCGTCACACTCGGGTGAGTCTCGTCACACTCGGGTGAGTCTCGTCACACTCGGGTGAGTCTCGTCACACTCGGGTGAATGCCATCACTCTCGGGTGAGTGCCATCACTCTCGGGTGAGTGTCACCACTCTCGGGTGAGTGTCACCACTCTCGGGTGAGTGTCACCACTCTCGGGTGAGTGTCACCACTCTCGGGTGAGTGTCACCACTCTCGGGTGAGTGTCACCACTCTCGGGTGAGTGTCATCACTCTCGGGTGAGTGTCATCACTCTCGGGTGAGTGTCACCACTCTCAGGTGAGTGTCACCACTCTCAGGCGAGTGTCATCACTCTCAGGCGAGTGTCATCACTCTCGGGCGAGTGTCACCACTATCAGGAATGGACTCTCTTATACTGGAGTCAGGGGGCGGGACCCACCATTGGGAGTATGTCATGTCCAAGAGTTGGGCCAGATGTTAGGAGGTAGGGTGAAGAAATACTCTGTATCTAGATTCCATGGTTTTGCTGTTATTACTATAATTTAATCCAGTATTGACATGATGAGGAATTTGATATATGTGCAGCCACTGGTCTCTTTATTTGAAGACTTTTCGCCAACCAGTGGCTTTATCAGTTTAGTACAGAGATGATATTCATCTACTGAGAGATTATAGAGGTATGGGCGTTTGTGGGAAACAATCAGGCTGCAGTATTAGGGTTAAAAACAGCAGTTATTACAGAGATACCTCAGGGATATGTTTAAAAGACAATATTCAAAATAAAGTTGCTAGTAATGGCAAATCAATTGATCAACAAACAAAGAGAGATAGCAGAGGGCAACGAGTGACTAGCTCCCTTAAGGTTTACTATACAAATAGTAGGAGTCTAAGAAATAAGATAGATGAGCTAAAATTACTTGCAAGCGTAGGTAATATAGATATTATTGGTATAACAGAGACCTGGTTCAACCTGAAAGATAGAGAAATGCCTTCTGAATGCAACATACAGGGTTATAAACTATTCCACACTGATAGGGTCAACAGGAAGGGTGGTGGTGTGGCGATGTATGTCAGAAAAAATTTAAATTGTTGTCTTAGACATGATATAAGATTAGAAACATCGAACACTGAATCTATTTGGCTACAGTTTCTCGAGGGACGTGACAAATTAATTTTGGGTGTGATTTATAGGCCCTCAAACCTTGATAGGGAGTGCAGTAAGCTGTTATGGGACGAAATTCATAACGCATCTAGATATGAAAATGTTGTGATAATGGGAGAATTTAACTTTAGACAAATTGATTGGAACAATATGACAGGAAATCTTGAGTCTAGTGACTTTCTTGATACGGTTCAGGATTGCTTTTTAAAACAGTTCGTGACAGAACCAACTAGAGGAAACAATCTGCTTGACTTGGTTCTTGCCAACAAAGATTCACTAATTAATAATCTTGAGGTTAATGATGAGCTTGTGGAAAGTGATCACAAATCACTTAGTTTCAATATATCATGGAATTACCCAGATAACTGCAATCAAATTTGTCTTAGACTCAGGGATTGATTGCCTCGTTTTCTACTGTAGTCGAAAATCATCTCGGTATTGAGTTGTTAAAGAGAAACGTCTTCAAATAAAGACACCCAGATGTTGCATATACGAGTAATTCTTGGAGTGATGTCTACTTATTATTATTATAGGGAGCGCTAAACCAACAAGGTCATATGGCGCTGTGGGGCAGAAAATAGTGTCGGGTCTATGAACAGCTAAGTGGAGAGATCAGAGGTGAGGGGGAAAAAAGGCTGGAAGGAACACTAAGTGCTGTGTCAAAGTTCATACAGTAAAGCAGTTGCTGTCAAAAAGTGACTAAGTCAAAGGCAGGACCATCTGCAAGAAGGGAAGATAAGGTAAGAGTGGCAGGGCAGCAGCATCGTTGGAGGTAAATCCTGCGAGCTCGTTGGTAAACTGGACAATCCACAAGAAAGTGAAGAATCGAAATAGAGACCCGACAAGCCTCACAGAAAGGAATAGGATGTTCCATGAGATACCCGTGGGTAAGGCGAGTAATCCGGAGACGGGAGAGCACAGTCTCCTGAGTACGGCAACGGAGGTAAGAAGATTGCGACAAGCCTAAAAGCGGTTTAATAGAGTGCGATTTGTTATGGTGCATGTCCAGCCACCGTTGTTGCCAAGGGTCGCAAAGATGGGCAGAGATGACTGTAAAATAATCTCTGAAGGGAATAACTTAACAGCAGGAAACCGGAAGATCATGTACTGCTGACCGCGAAGTAGCATCCGCCTGTTCATTGCTCTGCACATCAACATGTCCAGGGACCCAACAGAAAACGACGTCTTTGTTTTTGCTAGCCACATGGCACAACGGTAGTTGAATTCGAAGGACTAATGGATAAGGGGCATCAAATTGCTTAATGGCTTGTGAAGCACTGAGGGAATACGAAATGATCACAAGCGTCGAAGGAGACATATGTGTAATACAGAGAAGCATTATGAGGATGGCATACAACTCGGCATTAAAGATACTAGCCAAGTCTAACAAATGACCTGGGGCAACATTGTCAGGGAACACCGCCACGAACCCAACACCCTCAGAAGATTTAGAACCATCTGTATAAACAGCGACAGCATGAGCATGCGACCGGAAATTATCAAGCAAAAAAGAGGGAGAAGCAGTCGTAGGTAGGAGAGCTTTGGCACACGGCAGTAGGGAAGAACAGACAAACCGTCGGAACCTACCAAGGAGGAAGGGACAAGGCTGACGCTAAATGAACATACAAGGGAGGCAACCGGAGAGAAGACCGGAGTGAAGATGAAGAGAAAACGGTCAGAGAAAGCAGAAGCGTCGAACAAATAATGGGCTTCTACTAACGTCTGAGACTTACCTTTATGTAGAAGGAACACGAAGGTCATGAGAGCAGACAAAGTAACGAAGGCAATTAGCATCATGACGATCAGCTAAGGAACATTCGCCTCAGCATAGAGGCTTTCAACAGGGGATGAACGAAAGGTACCAAGGCATAAACGTAGACCCTATGATGAAAGGGATCTAACTTAGAAAGAGTTGTAAGAGAAGCTGCAGAATAGACTTTGCAGAATAGACTTGGTCGCCATAATCCAGCGTGGAATGCAAATAGAGGAGAGTCCGGCGATCTGCTCCCCATGAACGATGCGCAAGAATTTTAAGGAGATTCAGTCGACCATGGCAAGCTGCCCTTAAAGAGGAAACGTGAGGTTTTTATGTCAACCAGCGATCGACGAGAAAGCCAAGAAACTTGACCGTATCACATTCTGTAATATGTAAGCCGTGTAAATACAATGGAATATCTGGGACAAGAGGACGTCTGGTGAAGGTAATGAAATGGGTTTTCGTACTAGAGAATTTAAATCCATGAGAAGTGGCCCAATGGGAAACTCGATCAATTGCATCCTGATGGGAGGCCGCTACCAGGCGAGTCAGTGCCTGCCTAAGCTATAGCGAAGTCATCCTCATAAAGTGACAACCAAGTATGCGATGGAAGAACTGAAGGTAGGTCATTTATAGCCAAGAGAAAAAGGGTAGTGCTAAGGATACAATCTTGTGGGACTCCCTCGGCCTGAACAAAATCTAAGGAAACCGAGGCTCCAACACGGATACGAAAATTTTTGTTAGATAAGAAAGCAACAAGGAAAGTTGGTAGATTACCACGGAGGCCTGAGGAGTGGGCTTAGGCTAATTTGTTATACCTCCAAGTGGTGTCATATGCCTTCTCAAGATCAAAAAGACTGGAAATGAATGGTATAAAATACCGACACAATGTGATCCTTTATTGACAAAGTTTCGGCCATGCAGTGGGCTTTATCAAGTCACAAACAGATACTGCTTAAGTGTTTATATTTCCATCAAAAAAGACTGCTAGGACGGAGAGTTTGTTAGCAAAGGCATTTCACACATACGTATCTAAGTGGAGCAAGGGGTCCAAAGCAGAGCAGCCCTTGCAAAAGCCATATTGGAGAAGAGAAAGACTTGTGCGTCTCCAAATACCATATCAGAAGTCTATTCACCAATCGTTCCGTCACCTTACAGACTACACTGGTCAGAGCAATGAGGCGATAGTGAGAGGTATCAAGCCCCAAGGTGCCTGCTTTACAAAACGGTAGTACAATGGCAGATTTCTATTGTTGAGGGAGAACCCCTCTGATATGAATATACTGATATGAATATTATCAGGGCCAGCTCCCGATGACTGGCAAGCAGAAAGAATGGACTCTAGTTCTAGGAGAGTGAAAGGTACGTTTTACAGCTCCATTCCATTAGAAAAGAAATCCAAGGGCAATTGCTCCTTGGTAGACTTAGACGCGAGAAATGAGGGACAGAGGTGAAAACCTTGGGAGACACGGACAAGATGGTACCCGATTTTTGTGGCAACTTCAAGAGGTTCTGCAACACTAACACCAGCAACCCACAAAATGGGAGCTGGGTCAGGAGCATACTTGCCACACAACTTCAGTACCTTCTTCCAAACCGCACATATAGGGAAAGTCGAGGTAATGGTAGACACAGTCTTGACAACAAGTGCGTTTAGCGTCGCGTATGATGCGATGAGCGACTGCCCTTCCCCGTTTAAAATCCAAAAGACGATCTGAAGAATAGAACGTGATGCTACAATCAAACCTAAGGTCGAAAACTGGTGCACCAGCTCATCAATAGAGGACGAAGAAGGGTCCTACAAAAAGTGGTAAGATGAGAGTATAAGTCCCAAATTGCCCGTCCAGATTGCCAACGGGGGCTATGAAACGGGTGGGAATATGTAGTAGAAGTATAAAGAATAGGAAAGTGATTACTGTCGTGCAAATCCGGGAGAACAAACCAAGCATAAGCAAGTGCGATGGACGAGGAGCAGATAGAAAGATCAAATAAAAAAAGAGAGACTGAGTGCAAGAGTCAAAATGGGTGGGAGCACCTGTATTTAAAACATGAAGCGGACGAGAAGTGAGAAGAGTCTAACTGATCACCATGAGAGTCACAGTGGGACTCTCCCCAAAGATGATAGCGAGTGTAAAAATCACCTAACAACAAGACGGGCAGCGGCAGAGAAGAATGCATGGGAAGGGGAGAGAGATAGAGAGCAAACTGTATACCATCTGTGCAAATAAATGTGGGCTGCAGTATAATGCAGCAGAGAACGAACAAATACCTGTTGATACGGCATACCAACGCACATAAGAAAAGCACTCTCATTAAATGATCCATCAGGAAAGGGATCTGAAGAATGCAACAGCACATAGCCCGAAATGGGACGAATAACAGCTGAATGAATTTTGGGCTCTTGTAACCCAACATATACTGGTGAAAACTGGGAGAGCAACATCTGGAGCTCTCTCCAATTACCTCTGAGGCCACGAATATTCTATTGTAAGTCATTATTCACAAAGACTGGTATGCCAACAATAAGAAGCGATAAAATCTATGGGCTGTAAGGGTCAATGAAGTCAATGTGTGGAGGCAACGGAAAGCGTGTAAACAAGGAGGAATCAGAATGCTGTGAAGGAAAAGATTGCTGCAAGGGTCGTGAAAAATAAGAAGGGGTAGAAGGATGTACACTGATGTCCATCAAAGGTTTCGTTTCCGCAATATAGTCGGAGATAGCATCGAGTGTCTCAGCAGATAAGGAAGATGCAGATACCATGATTTCAGAGACAGGTGAGGTAGAACAAATAGAGATCGGGGAGACTATGGAGGGAACAAAAGAAGTCTGAGAGGGGAGGGGAGTATGAACCTGGAGAGATGCGCAGGTAGGGACAGAAGAGTCCTGTGGTGGAACAGGAGAGGAAGGAGGCTGGAAGATAATTGGGGGAGAAGTCTGGGGGGGAACAGGAGAAAAGGGGACTACATAAGGGTGGGGGGTGAACCTCCACCTTCATGTGAGAGTTAGAAATGGGGTGAGAACTAGGCACCGAGGAAGAGAAGGAAAACTGTTGGGGAATTTTAAGCACCATAGGAATGCGAACAGACATGAGCTTATGAGACAGGTTCAACTTCACAGGTGACAGGTGCGAAGAAGATGCAGGTGTGCAAGGCCTTGCAGACTGAGAAACTAGCAGGCAAGAAGAAGAGGTAGGAATAGGTAAGGAGGTGAGAATTTCAGAGGGTAAAACTGCAAAAGAATTAGAGATGGGGGTGACCCCAGAAGACAAGACATTGGATGAGCTGGTAGGTGGGGGGGACTGCCAATGTTAGAGGTCTCCTAGCTACTCGAGAATAAGGGAAACGAGGAAGATTCCCCTGAAGGCGGAGCCGAGAGACAGTCATAGCATAAGGCCTTCACTCTCCTTAAGACAACAGATTTCTTGTTCATTAAGACAGACCTGACATTGGCGGGAAAAAGAAGGATGAGGTTCATTGCAATTGAGACAAGTGGGGGGAAGACTGCAAGATGTATCGGCATGATCCATGGCACCACAGACCGGGCACTCTGCTGCAAATCTGCAGTATTTAGCAGAGTGTCTGAAGCGCCAGCAATTTCGACACTGTTGGGAAGTAGGGACCACTTTACAGGCCTCTAGGCGATGGCTCGTGATGTAAATGGAGGACGGGAGTTCACGGCAGTCAAAGGTTAAGTGGGCGATGTTGCTAGGAAAGTTCCTCCACCCGTGAGCAGGCAGGACATGTGTATCCACTTTGAGAATTGGAAGGTCCTGAAGGGCTAATTGCTCCAAAATATCATCACAAGATAGAAAATCACTTTGTACAATGGTAATCGGTAAAACAACTGTACCACTGCAAAAACAGAGTAGCATGCTTGTGAACTGTGATTGGAATGTTATCAATGGAAGTAAGTTGGGAAAGATGAGCTTGTTCTGCATTCTGAACTGTAACGATGCACGCACCACTTCAAAGAGCATGAAAGAATATGGTTTGGCCAATGTATAGTAAAAGAGATTTACCAATACTATGGTCAGAAAGATAATCAGTTGGAGATGTCGAGTCTAGGGAAAAGAATTTAGTCCACTGTGTACTTGTAAACATGGTGCATAAAGGAAGTGGGTGTTGCACAGGTCGTTTTTGGGTGGAATGAGCAGACATCGAAGAACCATCGTCAGCAAATGGCCTGGAATGTTTAGGTGTAGCACCACGGGCGGCCCGACCTGAGGTAGGTGGGTGATCCAAAAACCATCGTACTGTATTCGAGAAGCCAGATACATAGTTAAAGGCATGCAAGAGGCAGGGGCACTAGAAATGTGCAAAGCCTCAGCACCTGGAGCAGGTGACGAAGCATCACCAGCAGAAGGTACAGGGGTATGGGAAAAGTCTTGAAAATGGTTCAGTAATGAAGCCGGGTCAGAACAGGATGCGGTAACAGAAAGGGGCCTGGGAGGAGGAGGAGGGTTATTACAGAACAAAGACTCCATGATAGTGGTACTTCTTTTTTATTATTATTTTAAAGAATAAAATAAGAAGGAAAGAAAAAAAAAGAGGGACAGTGGAGGGACAGTCACTAGAAGGCATGAACATAAGAACATAAGAAAGAAGGAACACTGCAACAGGCTTACTGGCCTATGTGAGGCAGGTTCAATTCTCCCACTGGCTTAAGCCAATGCCTTGATCTAGTCAGGTGAGACACGTCACTTAAGGGAGGAGCACGGCATCCGACCTAGTAGCACAAGCTAGTCAGGTCCAACTCACACTCACCCATGTAATTATCCAACCTATTTTAAAAACTACACGTCTTAGCTTCTATGACGGGCCGTAAGTTCCCCCTCTCATCTGAGAGGGCCTTGAGACTGCAAGCAGTACAGGGGCAGCATAGAACCTGTGCTAGATCCTACCCTTCATGCCAGTAAAGCAGCGTTCTGGGATAGCAACCTCACATTTACCAAGCCATCTCTGTGGACGAAAGAGAGGGCGGTTGGAAACCCGCCACAAAGCATACCTCCTTCGGCTGCCACCTCCCAGAATCAACAGGCAACCTCTGGAGATACACCCGTCACCTGCAGGACACCCCACCCGCTTCTTAGAAATCCAGGAAGGGAGCAGGGTTCCTCCAGATAATCCAAATTCCATGGCAAACTACACCACACCCAAGGAACCTCATGGAGCGGGATGAACCCTGGCACACTTTCCCTCAGCTCGAAACCATAATGCCAGAGGGGAGGACCCCAGAGGCTACAAATGGGATGGGGAAATGGAGGGTTGGGAGGGGGGAGAAAAGGAAGGATGGGATAAGGAAGGGAGGATTGGGGGGTAATTAGGTTCGGTCTGAGGAAGAAGACCAAAGTGTCTAATTCCTTAGACCAAGAGCTTCAGCCACAACAAGAAGACCCCTTGAAAAGGTAGGGTTTATAAAATACCTGTGGTTGGGGGAGGGGAATGGAAGGCATTCAGGCTCAACTAAGAGAACTGAAGCAAAGATCCAATCCCGTGATCAAAAGCCCCTCACCAGCATCAAGGAACCCCCCTCCGAGGGATTTCTTACTTATTTAGGAACCAGACATGTGCTAACGAAAATAATACGTAAAATAATGGCAGCAACATCAACTCTGAGATATTAGCACAGTTGCTCTAAAACCTGTAACGTCCACTCAAATAATATTCACTGGCAGAATTTTAGTTAAAAAATTTAATATTTTAAATATTATTTGAAATTATAATTCTTACGATTATCATATACTTTCCTAAACATTATTTTCAGTGTTATTTTGCGGTACGGTGAAGCATTACAAAGTGAATCAAGATACTCACTGTGCCAACGAGATCTGTTTTATATCAAGTGATATCTGCTTCAGTTCCCTCAAGTCCCTGGTGGAACACTATCAACACAATGACGGCCTCTGCACCCGACTCTCTCAATCAGGGAAGGTGGGGAGACTGTCCTGCTTACCTGCCTCTCCTGACCATCTCTGTAACACATTTCCTGTACGTAATGTATTGTAGGAATGTATGTACTCACTGATTTTGCGTCAGCGTTGTTAAAGTCTTGGCTCCTGGAGCCACTTTCTAATATCGTTTTACAAGCATAAGAAACTTTTAACATCCTTAGTCTATTATAGTACATATTCCACTTATAACCCTATGCATAGTATATGTTATATAAGATTATAATAAAATATAATATATATATATATATATATATATATATATACCCACAAAAACACTTCTTGATTTCAAACAGGTATAACATGTAACTTTATTGTAATAATCTTTCACAGTTAGAAGCCTTAGATGCAGGATTTCATTCAGTTTCATGTGGTATAGTGTAGCATTAAAGGCACTCAGTGTGCGCCCCTCTGGTTGCTCGGCAAATACCGATGTGATAGTCCAGTTCGGTCCTGACGCTCTGCAGCATATCTGGTGTTACGCAAACTGCTTCAGTGATCGAAATTTTCAGCTCCTCCAGGGTTACAGGTAGAGGGGGTACGTAAACTGTGCTCTTCACGTACCCCCAAAGAAAGAAATCACAGTTAGGTCCGATGACCTCACAGGCCACTTGCAGAGGTTACTGGACCTATCTGTTTGTAACTTCTTTCTTTCGATTTCCACAATGGTGGAAATATTGGGAGTGTTTGCTTACACCGGTTGTCTATGTTCACCCGTCAGTATAAAATTGATACATGGGTGTTAGTTGACTGGTGTGGGTCGCATCCTGGGACAAAACTGACCTAATTTGCCCTAAATGCTCTGCATAACAAGCGGCTTTCTATATAGTAATGTCACTGGTGTCAGCTAGGACTGTATACCTTGTACATGTACTTGTAGAAATAAAGATATTATATTATAAAGAGCTAAGCTATATGCAGAGGCCCTAACAGACCACAGCAGTGCCCAGGAAAAGCTGAGAGGGAAAAATGAGACCACTGAGCACAGGGACATCAGATAGAGAAGAGATTGAAGGAAGGAATGCTGCAATGGTGGCAACTAAATCGACTCAGGGGATGCATAGGGAAATGCAGTGGGGGGATGAAAAGGAGAGGTCAGCTTTTATTTATGGGCTCCAGGAAGCTGAAGGGGAAACCTATGAAGCAAGAAGACAGGGGGAGAAAAAAGTGATTGAAAGTATCATGAAAGCAATAGGAGTGGATGGCATGACCCAGTTGACAAATTATCTGATAATAGGGGGGTTTGCAAGAGAAAAAAGCCGGCCAAAGTGATTTTCAAGGCAGAATCAGCTCGAAACAGGATCCTGCAGGAGAAAGCACAATAAGGGACATACCGATGTGCCGGAGGGTGTACCTCAACTGTGACAGAACACAAGAAAAAAGACACAAGCAGAGAGGGTACAAAGATGAAAGGAGGAGAGAGAGGCAAAGGCAGAGATGAGCAGAAGAACCCAGACTCAGGAAGAAGCACAAATACAACCTCCCTCAGAACCACCTATAGAAGAACGTCAGCCATGACACCCCCAGTGCAACCAAACAATCTAACCCAAAGCCCCACACACAGTACCCACTGCCCCCAACCCCCTCATCACAAACTCCACCCCACATCTGGAGGAAGACAACAGTCAAGGATCAAGTAATCAGGCTGAACAAAGAAGGTGGGGAGCTCACAAGAAATGACCAAGAGTTATGTGAGGAGCTCAACATGAGATTCAAGGAAGTATTTATAGTGGAAACAGAAAGGACTCCGGGAAGTCAGAATAGGGAAGGGGGGTACACCAACAAGGGATATACCATCAAGTTCCGCATGACATGCACACAAACCGAGGAGGAGGTGAAGAAGTTGCTACATGAACTTGATACCTCAAAGGAGGTGGGACCGGACATCTTTCCCTGGGGCCTTAAAGAGGGAGCAGAGATGCTGAGTGTGCCACTAACAATTTTCAACACATCCACTGAAACTGGGCAACTACCTAACCTGGAGTTTACCTGGAGAGAGTTCCGGGGGTCAACGCCCCCGCGGCCCGGTCTGAGACCAGGCCTCCTCCTAAGGTATGGAAGACGGTAAAGGTAGTCCCCATTTTTAAGTGAGGTGACAGAAACGAGGCACTAGAGTACAGACCAGTGTCACTGACATGTATAGTATGCAAAGTCATGGAGAAGATTATCAGGAGGAGAGTGGTGGAGCGCCTAGAACAGAACTTAAAACGACAACCAGCACCGATTCAGGGAAGGAAAATCCTGTCACAAACCTACTGGAGTTTTTTGACAAGGTAACGGAAGTAAGACACGAGATGGAAGGGTGGGAAGATTGCATTTTCTTGGACTGCAAGAAGACCTTTGACACAGTTCCTCACAAGAGATTAGTGCAAAAGGAATACCTGACAGGCAGGCAACAACGAGTCATGGTACGTGACAAGGTGTCAGAGTGGGCGCCTGTGACGAGCGGGGTTCCACGGGGGCCGGTTCTAGGACCAGTGCTGTTTTTGGTACATGTGAATGACATGACAAAAGGGATAGACTCAGAAGTGTCCCTGTTTGCAAATGATGTGAAATTAATGAAGAGAATTAAATCGGATGAGGATCAGGCAGGACTACAAAGAGATCTGGACAGGCTCCAAGCCTGGTGCAACAGCTGGATCCTTGAATTTAACCCCACCAAATGCAAAGTCATGAAGATCGGGGAAGGGCAAAGAAGATCGCAGAGTATAGGCTAGGTGACCAAAGACTGCAAACCTCACTGAAGGAAAAGGATCTTGGGGTGAGTGTAATACCGAACTCATCTCCTGAGGCGCACATCAACCAGATAACTGCTGCAGCATATGGGCGCCTGGCAAACCTGAGAATAGCGTTCCGATACCTCAGTAAGGAATCGCTGAAGACCCTGCACACCGTGTACGTCAGGCCCATACTGGAGTAATCACAAAACTAGGGTAAAAAAGGAGTGCGTTCCTCACAATGTTCTGAGAGCCTTGCACATCTGCAGTCCAGAGTTCTTAGAGGACGAAATCAGCAAGATATTCAACATGGCCACAAAACTGACATACCCTGGGGATTTTGTCGAGAAGGCACTAACGTCAGGAAGAAAGACTTTCTACAGGACTGAACCTAAGGAAGCAATTGCCAGGAAAAATGACTAGTTTTACCATATATTGAGAACCTAGTTTTCCTGTGTGAGGCATTAAAACAGATCAATATAAACCTTGATTTAAAAAAAACACGGGGACTGTGAAACAAAGGCTGATTTAAAACACCTTCCAACAAAGTTGGTGGGGTTTACAAGGTACCATGTTCTCAGTGTCCTCTCTCATATATTGGTCAAACAGGTAAACTTCTTGAAACCAGAATAGCCCAAAACAAATACTCAGTTAGGACAGGGCAGGACTCGAAAGCTATCTTTAACCACGTTATCCTATAATCACCCATCGGGGTGGGCTGCTGCCCAAATTATTGTACCAAACAGTTCTGTCATAAAAAGAAACATAATTGAATCTTCTCTCTTGAAACACGACAGGAATACCATATATAACTCAAATTATTGGTTATACAAGCTCGAAAGCTATTTAGTAGAGAATATTGTACACAACCTTAAACAACACTGCTATACAAAATCACTGGATTGCTCATTATGCCAGGTAGGTTTCATGATGGATTAGTGATGCTCAGCCAATGTCTACACACCAAAACTTCAAGCTATGTTAGTTGTGGATAGTTTGATAACACGTTTAGCTGTTATTGTACCATGCATACAAGATTACATGATAACAGGTATACAAGATTACATAACATAGGTAGTGGGGTTAAAGAATATTAGAAGTAGAAATTTGGATCATAGAAATATTATCGGAATGGTACAGAAGATTCCCAAGGCATATTAATCGATACTGAGAAGAATGGTAGAAAACAATATTTAGGAAAATATAAAGAGATACTTCTGAGTACCCCTGGGAACACTCGAGTACCCCAGAAAAGGTCATTTAAATGGAAAAAAAGAACACATTCATTTCCTTTTATAATTTTAAAAAGTTTACACAGAATAATAGCTATCCATATACATAGTATCCACTGAGAAACGCATTTTCTCAAGTTCTAAGTGGCTAGAAAAAGCTTGGAGCTGGCTATTTATTTCATAATACTTGACATCTCAAAACCTTCGTACCCCCATATCGGCAGGAGGGAAATGGTGGTGGTGCGGGGTCTGGCACCAACCATTGGCCCACATTCTGAGAATGACTGTGGAAGGTGTCAGACCTGCACTGCGCTACTCTGAGAAAACTTCCCCTCACCCCTTCTGTTGCTGCCTTGCAACATTGCATAGCTCCTGATGACGCACTGAGAAGTGTGAAAGTACTTGAACTAAAGATTTTCACCCCCCGCGGCTTGTATGGCAAAGTTAAATCGCCTGTCTGCAATTGCTTGCATATATAGGAGTAGAATGATGGCTCTAGGCTTTTCGTGTTGCAATCAACACATCATGAGCTTGCAAAATTGCAGAAAGAGGAGGGTTTCCACGCGAATACGTTCCCAGGGGACCACGTTGACTGGAGTGAGAGAGGGAGAGAGGAGAAAGAACCGGAAGTGCCCACAGGCACAGCAACCAGAAGGATGAATATTATAGCATTAGAAAAATCCCACAAACACTGATATTGTAACCTAAACGAAATTAACGTAGCAATAATAAATTCAGTCATATTTCGTTTAGGTTACAATATCAATGCTTGTGGGATTTTTCTAATGCTATAATATTCATCTTTCTGGCTGTTGTGCCTGTGGGCACTTCCGGTACCTTCTCCTCTCTCACTCCAGTCAACGCGGTCCCCTGGGAACGTATTCGCAGGAAACCCTCCTCTTTTCTGCAATTTTGCAAGTTCCTGATGATGTGTTGATTGCAGCACGAAAGGCCTAGCGCTATCATTTTACTCCCCCCGTGGTTATTTTGCATCTTGTATCGCTTTCTTTGCGATATCTGATATATATATATATATATATATATATATATATATATATATTTCTTCTACAGCAAAGTGGGGCAGAGGAGGCACCTCCCGAAGAAAGGACGACTAGGGAGGTAAGGGATGTAGGTACTAGCAACCCCTGGGAGATTCAACGTAACTCCATCCAGCTGGTGAAGAAGCTGGGCAGCGGGCAGTACGGTGACGTGTGTCAGGGACGCTGGAACAACCAGATGGATGTTGCTGTCAAGACAATGAAGCCAGGTGCAGAGAAACACACACACAACCAGTTAGATGGAATTCTGTATTGACTATTTTTCACAAACACTTTTAACTCTCACGTTAAAGATTTTTGTATCTCTAACATCATGTTGGTACAGAGAGAGAGAGAGAGAGAGAGAGAGAGAGAGAGAGAGAGAGAGAGAGAGTGCATGATTTAATTCTACTGATTCTCTCTTTTCCTCTCCTTCACATGCATACATAAACACACACACACACACACGGAGCTAAGGGGCATGTCCTACGAGGAGGACAGGAGAGAGAGGGGAATATGATACCGGCATATTAAATACTGAGAGGAATTGACAGGGTGGACAGAGACAGGATGTTCCAGATATGGGACACGTCAAGAATAATGGGAGGATTAACGGGAAAGGCACTGCAATGGATCAGAGAATACCTGATAGGAAGGAAATAACGAGTTATGATACGTGACGAGGTGTCAGAATGGGGACCTGTGCGAGCGGGGTTCCACATGGTCAGTCTTAGGGCCGGTACTATTTCGGGTATATGTGAATGACATGAAGGAAGGGATAGATTCAGAGGTGTGTCTGTTTGCAGACGATGTGAAGCTGCCTTGTATGGGCCAGTAGGCCTCCTGTAGTGTTCCTCCATTCTTATGTTATGTAATGCAAAGAAATAAATCGGATGAGGTTCAGGTAGGACAACAAAAGGATCTGAACAGGCTACAAGCCGGGTCCAGCAGCTGGCTCCTGGAGTTTAACCCCACCAAGTGCAGTCACGAAGATTGGGGAAGGTCAAAGTAGTCCGCAGACAGAGTACAAGATAAAGGGCCAAAGACTGAAAACCTCACTCATGGAAAAAGATCTTGGGGTGAGCATAATACCGAGTTCGTCACCTGAGGCGCACATCAACCAAATAATTGCTGCAGCATATGGGCGCCTGGCAAATTTAAGAATAGCATTTCGACACCTTAGTAAGGAATTGTTCAAGACTCTGTACACCGTGTACGTCAGGTGTACATAGAGGGGACATGATAAAAACGACATATAAAATACTTAGAGGAATTGAGAAGGTGGATAGAGACAGGATGTTTCAGAGATAGACACAGCAACAATGGGTCACAATTGGAAGCTGAAGACTCAGATGAATCACAGGGATGTTAGGAAGTATTTCTTCAGTTATAGAGTTGTCAGGAAGTGTAACAATCTTTAGAGTGATGTAGTGGAGGCAGGATCCATACATAGCTTGAAGAGATGCGATAAATCTCATAGAGCAGGGAGAGAGTGGATCTAGTAGCGACAAGCGAAGAGGCGGGGCCAGAAGCTGTGACTCAACTCCTGCAACCACAAATAGGTGATTACACACACACACACTAGATATACTCTTTCTCACACAGAGTGCATGGAGCTAGAGGAGTTCATGCGTGAGGCAGAAGTAATGCAGAAGCTGCGTCATCCCCGCCTGGTGAAGCTGTATGGCTTGTGTACCACACCCAGGGACCGGCCCATCCTTATTGTGGTGGAACTAGTCAAGAATGGTGCGCTTCTCCAACACCTTAGGAAGAGGAAATGTAAGTCTTACAGTAAATTAGAGTAGGCTTCATAACATCATAAGTATAACCCACTGACTATAAACCCAGAAATACTAATCTTAATCTTAAAATAATAAATCCTAACTAGTCATAAGTTCGCCTATGATACTCAAATATAGACACCTTGTATTGTGCCAAAACAAAAGTATTCACATTGCTAAACTCACAAATTATGATGTAGTCACTTAGCCTTAATACTATAATCTGTAAGGATTTAATGTTAAGAATTAATTTAAGTCCGCTCGAAATACCTAGCCATGCTAGGTGTCCTAGTGGCCCCCTCTGTAATTAGTATTTTATAACATGTAAACCATAAAATACCCAAAACCTGTAAACCCCACATTGTAACCATTATAGAGAATAAACTTGAATATATGAAGCCGGAGCTCTATTCAACTCTCAAAGGTGCCAACTAAACTGTAACTTTCAACTTTCAAGATTCTTGAAATTGAGCGTGTTTTGAGAGCCATGTGTCGTAATGGCATCTGAGCATCAGATCCACTCTTTCATGAGGTCCGCTGGCTCTCTAATATAATAAGAGAGAAGCGTTAAACCCGTAGGGAATATACAGCACCTGGGTAACTTGAGGTAATCAGGTTTAATCCTAGGTACCTCCATTGAGGGAACTCTCTCGAGGAATGATCCATGCAAAAGTTTTAGGACTGAAATCTGAAACTGAAATTTTTCTCCATAAAATGAAGCATGTCTTGCCTGTTTCAAGGATCATATTTGGCAGGCGAGTATACTGATTGTTAACCAATGGCTTTTTTTTTTTTTGTAAATAAAAAAATCGTTCTTAAAGAAAAATACTTAGTTTATGGAGCAAAAAAAAAAATGAAGAGGAAGACTTAACATCTTGCTAGAAGATTCCTAAAATATTCCTGACTGATTTTGTTGTCCTGACAATTCACTTGACCCATGGCCTTGCAGAACCGATGGATGCGTGGTAATAATGATAGATTTATTCAGTGATAACGACATATAAACCAGTCACAGCCAGACTTCAATGAAAGGACCAAACAGTTATTCTTAAGAAGTCCGAACTTGGTACAAAAAACTTTGTTACGTTGTCCCTAATGTACCAAGACCAGCAGGTATGTATGATATATCTTGGTTTAGAAAGACACGTAAGCAAACACTATAACATATTTATTAGAAAACGTTTCGTTCCTGGGACCTTGATCACTTCTAACATACAGAGGTAGGAAGACATTATATATAGGCGGAGAGTGAGGTGTGACGCACGTGACCTGAGGAATGTCATAAGAACATAAGAATGGAGGAACACTGTAGAAGGCCTACTGGCCCATGCGAGGCAGGTCCTTATCAAAAACAACCTCTTAGAAGTGATCAAGGTCCCAGGACCGAAACGTTTTCTAATAAATATGTTATAGTGTTTGCTTACGTGTCTTTCTAAACCAACTTGTCGGTATTTATTACCAAGGTTTATTCCATGATATATCTTAAAAAATACGATGAGAACCTACTTAGACTGAAAGCGCCCTGCACAGAATAGAAGATAAACTCGCTTAATATATCAAGCCTACTTGGCAATATATGTTCTACCCATTTTCACCACGCAGAAGATGTCAGTGTTCTGAGAAACGTCAAGAAATTGTAATGTTACCTCTCTCTTTACAAACCAGACGATTTCATTACTCCTCGAGAAATTCATGCATCATATAGAACTGCCACATCCCTGCCAAAACGTTGTTGACTAGCCTCAACTTAGCACAAAATTTAATTAATTTTTCAATAATGCATTCTATAGGCATAAATTCGTGCAGACTATGGGTACTGCCTACAAGCGAGGCCACTGTCCAACTTATACATGGAACCTCTGGGAGGTGAACGTTTCTCAAGCATCGTTTATTCTACCATTAACTGGCTATGTAATGTGGACTGTATCCTAGTGATAACACCTAGTTTAAACTTGGTAGAAATTTCTATACGGTTCTGCCTTCGGGAAGAAAGTTAGTCAGACCAGAACACCAACTTAAATATACAGTTTATCGGAAACCCATTAATAAGGATGACTCGATACACACTCCGAGACATGTACGTGTTGGTTCTCCTTTAAAAGATGACTGAATAAGCAACTTTGAGTTTCTCTAAGTGGAGTATTCTATCCTCATCGAGTGTTTCTGTACACTAAAATTTCCTTATTATTTCATAAAGAATTGCAGACAACAGGCTCAGCACCAACTTGAAAACCAAGGATGAAAACAGCAAATGATGAGCATGGACTGTAGTCCAACAAGGTCGGCCAACATTATCATGGAATCACTTAAAGTTGATACAAATGTAGCCGTCTTGATATCCAGGTTTATTCATAACTTTACTAGACTAGTTAATGTTCCAAGTCGGACCGAAAACGTCGTCATAAGTTTCTCTTATATGCGAGTTATTTGTGTATTTACTAGACCGGTCATTTCTAACTACTCTGACATCAAGGCTGGAGTCTACACAAATTCTTTGTGCAGGACGTGATAAGTGTTACGTTGGTGAAATGGCACCAAATATCAATGCATTAATTTTGAACACAACTCTGCATAAAGACCTCGCAACACCGGCTACAGAAAAACATTAGCCATCATGAGAAACACGCATACCTCATAGTATGGCATTACATATATGAAAGGAAAGAGAATAAGGTACCTGGAAGAAAGTATTGAAATACTGAATCAAGGTATCTTCAGCTTTGTTAAAGTCATTGCACAACACAACATTTATGGACAGTCGCACGAGGTCTGATCTCCGGCTCTGATCCCCCGCACTTGACCACAGAACCTCATCTATCTGTAGGCTACCTGTAATTCACTTCGAGGTCACTGTCACAGCGGCCCGCTCCTAGACCAAGCCTCTTAGTTGTGGGCCTTATCGAGCAGTCTGTTGGTGCCCACTGCCCGCAGTATAACACAAGCATCACAACCTGGTTGGTCAGATACTGACCTGTGGTTATCAAGATCGCTTTTAATACAAATACCAGACAACTAGGAGTTTCTTGATAATTACCTTTAAGCATGGTGTCGAAGAGTCTTAGTCTTTCTCTATTAATTCTTTCAGTGGAATCACGCACTCCTGCTTTTCATTGAAAGCATCTTGCACCGTCTGCTGTGCCTTTTGCTTTTGTAAGGAGTGATTTCGGTGTGCAGATCTGGGACACAATCCCTTTCGAATCTTCAAGGTGGGGAACCTTTTTTCTGCCAAGGGCCATTTGGATATTTATATTTATAACATTCACAAGCCTTACAAACTTACAAATTAGTCTGTTATATTTGGTCAATCATTTAATTATCTCACGCCTTATGTGATGGCTGGAATTGCTTCTCTTTGGTGAGGCGTGTGATTTTAACTGGTACTGATGATGTTGCTACTCGCAACTGCTTTTCCAGGTTTGCGTCGGTCAGTCTGGAGCGCAGTCGACTCTTTGCGATGGTAAGCTAAAAGGTATCTTCATAATTCTGCAGACTTATTGGGATTTTAGGTTTCGTATTTTTTTCATTATGCTGTGTAAATCGGTATGGGGAAGGGTTAATATAAATTTATGTTACTATGAAACAAAGATCCTAGATATATTGAATTTCGAGTCCCTCCTGCTGTTGCCTTGGGAGGCCCAGACCAAATGATTTCGCAGGCCTTATACGGCTCTCGGGCCTGACGTTCCCCACCCCTAATGTAGATTATGATGTAACTTTCTCTCCTGCGTTTTGAGGAGTACGGTTCAAGGGACTTAAAAACAGCAAGTAATTTAGTTGCTTAACTGAGGTTACAAGAGTTGTGAATGTTCTCTGTACATTCTATAGTTCCCTGAAGAACATAATTATCGGCTTGATATTTCTTTTTATTAAAGTCATATTTACCCAGCCTCTCACTTTGCATCCCCAGCATCTCAAGAGTGCACCTTACTGGCTGGATTGTATACGAAACTTAATTGTTCCTGCGTATAACATAAAAAGTGGTTGGCACAGCTCGAAACATTTCTTGTCATCTATTTGTTATATAATTCATCTTTTACATATTACCTGGAGAGAGTTCCGGGGGTCAACGCCCCCGCGGCCCGGTCTGTGACCAGGCCTCCTCATTTCCATTATAATTCTCACATTTCCTGTTGTGTCATTTTCTTTATCTTTTTAAATTTTGCCAGCTGGAAATGTTAATCTCGAGATGGGTTCTCTTAGGGAGTAAAAGTAATTTAGGTTTGATATAAGAAAGGATATCAAACCTGATTTCTGGTTGAAGAGCCTCTCACCGCGTCTTAATGGTACTCATTCTTGGATACAAATAAAACAGTCGTGACTTTATCCAAACACCTCACATTTTCCCCTGCTTAATTATTCTATTGTAAACTGTCGCACGATTTAACATACCCGCGTCTACCAAAAGCTCAAAAACACATAACTAAAGAGTCGCCCAAATGCATTGGCTTACGCGCTGGCCTGGAGTTTGACGACTCACCTGCCGCAAGTTCAATCCCTACCCGTACCGTGGTTTGTTTGCAATCGTGTCATTACGATTTCAAGTCATTTAATGAAGGAAACATTTAGCAATTAATGGCGAAACGTCTCCTTCAACAAATACCTCGATTGTACAGATGTGCCTTAGTTCCATAACCCAAGCGCTCACACATAATGTAAATAATCTTGACTGTTTTAGATGAGAAGCAGTTGCACCCTGTTGGCGACCTCGTTAAAATAGGGCTGCAGGTGGCCTCCGGCATGGCGTACTTAGAGGCCCAGAAGTTCATACACAGAGATCTGGCTGCACGCAATGTTCTCATCGGTGAGGGAATCAGCGTAAAGATCGCTGATTTTGGTCTGGCCAGGGTAATTAAGGTAAGTATATGGCGTATGAGAGGAGAGAGAGAGAGAGAGAAGAGAGAGAGAGAGGAAGCTTACAGCACTTCGCCGTATCTTGCATCTGCTTGACAGTAAGTTTATTTATTCAGGTATACACAAATACAGTTACATAGAATTATCGTACATAGCAGCATATGTGTAGAGAACCTGGGATAACCCAAAAAAGTCAGACAGTGTGACTTATTTCCATTGGGTTTGCAAGATTCTGTACGAGGCAAAAGTACGCTCACATCTTGAGTATGCTCCACTTTCTTGGTTTGCCTGCCCCCCCCTCTCATCTGCGACTGCTTGACATTATGTATTAATAAAAAGGGGCATTCCGCTAGACCCACGTGGATTATGACGCCTGGGGGGGGGGCTGTCAGCTTCAGGGTATTGGGGGAAATGTAGCACAAGGCCAATTGCCAAAGTACCCTATCCATCGGGAACCTTGGGGGGACTTTGCCGAGTAGAGACAGAGCAAAGCGTTCATCTCTCGCCTGGACCCATTCCTGGATCTCTGTCTTTCTGCAAGCCTTCAACAAGGATGATGGGTGGCCTTACTGTTATGTACAAGGCCATATTGTCAAAGTACACACTTGGATCACTTCGAGCGACCACTGAAACCAAGCTTTTATGCCCGGGCAGAATAAGCAGTAACTTCATCTGGCTGTACCCTTCTCAGAACATCATCATTGAGATCATATATACCAGATGCTCGTTGGAACACATTCGTACAGCTTATGTACGAGATTAAAGTCAGTTGGATCAGATGAAAAGCTGACCTACAGATGGCTCCACTTCATCCTGTTCCCTACTTGTATATTTCTAAGCAATAAAAATGTTGTGCATTGGTATTAACCACAAGTGGTATGAAATAAGACACATGTGCAACAGGATATCTTTATTTTAGGACGTTTCGCCTCCAGTGGCTTATCAATACAAATTTAGGACTAATTGAAGACAGTAGGACTATATACAATTTTGAGGTAATCAGGCCTCCTGATAGGTGCGAAGAGCACCGTAGTCGTGGAGATTCTGATCAGAAGCAGGAGCCTGGCGCTTATGTAGTAACGACAACTACTACTACAACTAACCCATCTCTTTGGGAAGGACCTACTTCCACTGGGGAATCCCGCCTACCAGTGACTATGCCTTCGTCTGCTACACCTGACGTTACTATATAAGCGCCAGGCTCCTTGCTTCTGTTTCAGAATCTCCACGACTACGGTGCTCTTCGCACCTACTCCTAGGTTGAGGGACTGATTACCTCATCTTCTGTATATAGCCCTACTGTCTTCAAGTTGCTAAATTAGACACATGTGCAACTCTTGGGTATCTTTATTGAGGAAACGTTTCGCCACACAGTGGCTTCATCAGTCCATACATAGAAGAAACTTGAAGAACAGGGGAGAATGAGGTAATCAGTCCCTCAACCTTGAGTCGATGTGGTCAGTCCATCAATCTTGAATAGAATACGGCATATGAGCGGAGAAGCAGCTTATAAACCGTATGGCAGGAGAGGTGCAACAGTCGTAGGTGGTGTCACATATGTTCAATGTGGAAGTAGGTCGTGCCCAAGGGTTAGGCAAGTTATGTCCTAGAATTTGTATTGATAAAGCCACTGGATGGCGAAACGTCTACAATAAAGATATCCAGATGTTACACATGTGTCTTAATTTCATCACAATAAAAATAATTGAATGTCTCATAACAATAAAAATGCTTTCAAATGAGCTGATGTAGGTAACAGCTCTTAGCTTGTCAATAATGTTAGGAATCCTTAATTTGTAAACAGCTTGTCAATAAAGCTAGGGATCCTTAACCTTGTCAAACCCTGTGCAAGAGAGAGAGAGAGAGAGAGAGAGAGAGAGAGAGAGAGAGAGAGAGAGAGAGAGAGAGAGAGAGAGAGAGAGAGAGAGAGAGAGAGAGAGAGAGAGAGAGAGAGAGAGAGAGAATGGTTACAGGGGTCGAGTCTGTGTCTGACCACGCCTCTTCTCTAGCCGCTAATGGATTCACTCTCTCCTAACTTCGAGAGCCATATCGTATCTTTTCTTAAAGCCTTGCACAAATTCTGCCTATACTACTCTACTTTCTGACATCCCTGTGATTCATCTGTGTTTTCAACTTCCAGCTGTGCCCTTGTGTTCCTGTGACTTATTTCCATTGGGTTTGCAAGATTCTGTACGAGGCAAAAGTACGCTCACATCTTGAGTATGCTCCACTTTCTTGGTTTGCCTGCCCCCCCCCCTCTCATCTGTGACTGCTTGACATTATTATTATTATTATTATTATAATGAAGGGGGAAGCGCTAAACCCGGAGGATTATACAGCGCCTGGGGGGGGGGATGTGGAAGGCATTCAGGCTTAATTCGGGGAACTGGAGCACAAATCCAATTCCCTAAATCAAGAGCCCCTCACCAACATCAAGGAACCTTCCTTGAGGGGACTGCTTGACCGAGTAGAGAACAGAGCAAGGCGTCTCATCTCTCGCCTGGACCCATCCTGGATAGATCTGTCATTTCAGCAGAGCCTTCAACATAGGAAGGATGTGGGTGGCCTTACTGTTATGTACAAGACCAATATTGTCAAAGTACCACACTTGGATCCACTTCGAGGACAGCGTGAAGCAAGCTTTTATGCCCACCCTATCAATTTCTCTCGTTATGTACGTTATATCACCTCTAGTCCTTACATTTAATGTCATCAGGTTTAGCTCCTTTAACCATTCATCAAGGGACGTACTCCTTGGCTCTGGGGCTAGTCTCATTGCATATCACTTCAATTTCTTGACATGACTCAAGAAATCGTAATGACACGATTGCAAACAAACCATACCCCCGGCCGGGATTGAACCCGCGGTCATAGAGTCTCAAAACTCCAGCCCGTCGCGTTAGCCACTAGACCAGCTAGCTAGTGGCTAACGCGACGGGCTGGAGTTTTGAGACTATGACCGCGGGTTCAATCCCGGCCGGGGGTATGGTTAATTTCTTGACATGTTTGAGATGTAGTGGGTTCCTTACTGGTGACGAAGATAAGAGATAAGATAAGATTTCGTTCGGATTTTTAACCCCGGAGGGTTAGCCACCCAGGATAACCCAAGAAAGTCAGTGCGTCATCGAGGACTGTCTAACTTATTTCCATTGGGGTCCTTAATCTTGTCCCCCAGGATGCGACCCACACCAGTCGACTAACACCCAGGTACCTATTTGCTGCTAGGTGAACAGGACAACAGGTGTAAGGAAACGTGTCGAAATGTTTCCACCCGCCGGGAATCGAACCCGGGCCCTCCGTGTGTGAAGCGGGAGCTTTAGCCACCAGGCCACCAGGCCACGAATGCTGTATAAAATGTCGCAAATGCCTTCTTGCTTACATTTTTGGAAATTTACCAGAAGCACATTTGCTGCGGTTTAAAAAGGTACTCGAGCAGACACTAGGACATAATTATTAAAAAACGTTTCGGTCCTGGGACCTTGATCACATTTTCTGCACCAGTCAATCGGCTGATGTGCGCCTCAGGTGATATGCTTGATACAGTGCCCACCCTGAGGTCCTTCTGTCTAAGTGAGATTTGTAGCCTTTGTCTCCGAGCCTGTACTCTCAGTCGTCAATCGTCCCCATTCCGATACCTCTTCTAGGAGAATAACTCGTTATTTCCTTCCTGCTAATTATTCATTGATTCATCGTAGTGCTTTCCCCTTGTTGTTCCTACTTGCTCCTCTAGCTCTTGTTCCTGTCTCATGTGGGGCACTGTGTTGAAAACTTTCAAACAGTCCGAAAATATCTAATTTATCCAACCCTCTCTTGTTTGCCTCTTACCCTATCGTTAATATCTAGCAGGTTTTCGAGACAGAATTTACCATCTCGGAAGCCGTGCTGGTTGTCGTTAATGCACCCACTCTTTTCTAGGTGCTTCACTACTCTTCTCCTGATATTCTTCTCCATAACATAGCATAATATTTATATCAGTAACACCGGCCTGTAGGTTAATGCTACTTGTCTATCCCCCTCTTTCTTAAATATAGGTGCTGCCTCAGTAGTCTTCCACACTTCTGGCAGTTGCCCTGTGTCAATTGTCTTGTTGAAGATAGTTGTTAGTGGCTAACCCAGTGCTTCTGTTCCCACTCTCAGGATCCACGGAGAGATATTATCTGGTACCACCGCCTTCGGGGCATCTAGCTCACTCAGTATTTTCCTCACCTCTTCTCTTGTGGCATGTACTATCCAGCACTCACTGGTGAATTCTACCACTTTGGATCTCTGGTAACCTTTGCATTTCCTCTGAGAATACCTCATTTTTTTTCTGAGCTTCTCATAGACTTCCTGGTCATTCATTGTGAACTTTCCTCCTCCCTTCATCAGCCTGATTTCCTGATCCTTTACTGTTGTCTTCCTCCTGATGTGGCTATATAAAAACTTTAGGTCGGATTTGGCTTTCGACGTTTCTGGTTCTAATCATTTCCTTATTCTCCTACATTCTTTGCCTCTATTTTTTTTATGCTCTACACATTTAGCTTTAGCCTCTCTACACCTCTGAGTGAACTATGAGCTCACTTTGTTCTTCTGTCTTTTTCCCACTTCTGCTTACTAATTTTCCCTCTGCCTCTCAGCAGAGTTCCCTTAGCCACTATTTCTCATTCAGGAATTACATCATGCCTGTGTAATCTCTTCTGATGTTTGGCTTCTCTCATATATCGTGTCCTGCCTCTCTAGGTTTACTTCCACAAGGTATTCAAAATGAAGGACCATGTGGCCACTAGAACCGAAGGGTCTTTCATATTCAATTTGTGGGCATAGATGGTGGCAGATGGGGAAGTAGGGATGTAGAGGGAAGAAGGGGTTGGAGTGAGGGGCTGTTGCTAGAAAGATTCTTACTCTGGGAGGGGTAAGGGATGTGAGTGTAGGCAAGGGGAGAAAAGTATGGCATGTTTTGTGTTATTGTGTTTGAGTATTAAAAGTGGGCTAGCTAGGACGTGAGTGTTAGGAGAGGGCTAACTAGGATTTGAGTGTGTGGGCGTGTCTGGCGTTCTTCCAGAGGTTGATCTTTCACTCTTGTCATTTGTAGTCTCTTATTTGTTCCCGCTTCTTTAATGCTATCCTGGTCGAGATACAATCAGCAATTGTTTTCCGACTGCTGCTTTTTTTTTTTTACACAGGGTTTGACAAGGTTAGGTTAAGGATCCCTAACTTTGGAAACAAACACACATGCAGTTTAATGTGATCCTTTACTGACAACGTTTCGCCCACACAGTAATAGACAGGACAAGCTTCCATCCTCTGCAGGGGTATACATAATCCCTTGTTTGTAGATGAATGGTTCAGAGAACCGACATGTTGATAAATTAGACACATGTGCAACTCTTGGGTATCTTTATTGAGGAAACGTTTCGCCACACAGTGGCTTCATCAGTCCATACATAGGAGAAACTTGAAGAACAGGAGGAGAATGAGGTAATCAGTCCCTCAACCTTGAGTCGATGTGTTCAGTCCATCAAGATTGATGGACTGAACACATCGACTCAAGGTTGAGGGACTGATTACCTCATTCTCCTCCTGTTCTTCAAGTTTCTCCTATGTATGGACTGATGAAGCCACTGTGTGGCGAAACGTTTCCTCAATAAAGATACCCAAGAATTGCACATGTGTCTAATTTATCACCATAATCCCTTGTAATGAATGCAGCAAATTATACGTGGGAGAAGCATCAAGGGACCTCCAAGCACGTATTTCAGAACACCAATAAGCAAGCAGGACTGACGATACAAGGAATGCCTGTGTACAACACCGCAATTCACACAACCATTTAATTAACTACAGAAACTCAAGACTTATCGCCACAGAAGACAACACTTAATACAGAAGAATCCTGGAATCATCGCTTATCTCTATAACCAACAATTTCAATCAGGACAATGGCTTCTATAACATAGCTGCACCACTCGCCAAGAAACTTCTTCATCGCTATCCCACATAAGAACATAGAACACCGTAGAAGGTCTGCTCACAACTTATCAAATCCCCCTTTTCCAAGCTACCCAAGATTTTAGACTCTATAACCCCGCTCGGTACATCAGATGCAGCATTCTCCACCTGACCAACATTCTGAACCTGACTATAAATACTCACGTACCTTCCACACCAGGTAGATCTGTTTGCGACTTGAAAAAGCCCACTGTGTGGACGAAACGTTGTCAATAAAGGATCACATTAAACTGCATATGTGTTTATGCTTCCAGTGTGTCGGTATTTTATACCATTTATTTCCGATCCCTAGCTTTATTGGCAAGCTATTTACAGGTTAAGGATTCCTAACTTTACTGACAAGCTAAGAATTGTTCTTAACAGTAGTTTCCATTTAACGATCCTGTCTCGTGTAATTTCTCTTGTGAGAGTTACATCAACTGAGTTTTTCTCCTTGATCACTTTCCAAGTCCGATAATTTGCCATCATCTTCGTTTCGGCTCCTCCATCTGTAACTTTAATGATAATTTGAGCCTCCTCTTCCTTCCCCATTCATATTTCATCATGAATCTTCCCTTCAGCTTCCTGAAGCCCTTTCTTTTCCTACCATTTTCTTTCCCTCCAGATATACGTGTCATTTTGAGGATTCCCTTTGTTGTTTCGTTCTATCATCTACATGTCCCGGTTGCCTGAGAGTACATCCGAAAAGGTCTCCTTTGCTCCCTCTTCTCCTCCTCCTGTCCCCTCACCTATCACTATTCGTGGCTTCATCTCGTTCCTCCTTCCTTTTATCGTTTCACATTACTCCAATGTGTGTGTGTGTGTGTGTGTGTGTGTGTGTGTGTGTGTGTGTGTGTGTGTGTGTGTGTGTGTGTGTATGTATGTATGAGAGAAGAGAGAGAGAGAGAGAGAGAGAGAGAGAGAAAGAGAGAGAGAGAGAGAGAGAGAGAGAGAAGCAGGAAATGTGTGTGTGGTAATATCTAGTTTCTTTTACAATAATCGACTGTCTTGCACCACACTGTTCCTTGAAGCTTACCAGTCTTCGCAAAGAATCCGCGAGACTTTCAAGGCTGATGATTACCAACAGGTTCCTCTCTCGCCCTCAGGATGACGTGTACCACCATAACTCAAACAATAAGATCCCCTTCAAGTGGACAGCCCCGGAAGCCATCAGCTTCGGACAGTTTACGTCTAAATCAGACGTATGGTCCTATGGAATCCTTTTGTTCGAAATAGTCACCCACGGGCAGATGCCCTACGAAGGTGAGCTGTACGTCTTATTTATCTTGATTATGGACAGCTAGGTAATCGCAAATAAGAAGCGCGTCTGTCTCACACTTAGCAAACGGGGGATCAAGCCTCCATCCACATTGTCTTCCATCCACACTGTCTTCCATCCACACTGTCTTCCATCCACACTGTCTTCCATCCACACTGTCTTCCATCCACACTGTCTTCCATCCACACTGTCTTCCAGCCACATTGTCTTCCAGCCACATTGTCTTCCAGCCACATTGTCTTCCAGCCACATTGTCTTCCAGCCACATTGCCTTCCAGCCACATTGCCTTCCAGCCACATTGCCTTCCAGCCACATTGTCTTCCAGCCACATTGTCTTCCAGCCACATTGTCTTCCAGCCACATTGTCTTCCAGCCACATTGTCTTCCAGCCACATTGTCTTCCAGCCACATTGTCTTCCAGCCACACTATCTTTCCAGCAGCTAAGCATTGTAGGTAAAAGGACACAAGTGCAACTAATGTGACGTTCCACTGGGGCAGCCTAACGGCTTGATAAAGCTCCTGGAGAGCGAGGTCAGTGGTCACGTGTGGTCACATACCTGTCCTAAGCTGTCTGGGATTAGCGTGGAGTGTTACGTAGCACCATGGAGGTTCTACTTCTTCAGGAGGAAAATAGGAGGCTGAAGCTTCGTCTAGATGGGTTTGGGAGTGAGTGTGGGATGGTGGTAGCTGGTGAGGAGGAAAAAGTTACCAGCAGTGATTTGGAGAGTGGCAGCTGCTTTAAGTGGCAAGTGGTTCACAATTTCGGAAGGATGATAAGGAAGGTTAACAGAGAAGATGTGAAGGTACAAAATCGATTCTCTGTTCTCCAGGACGAGTGTACTGCAGTGATTAGTGAGGTTAAAGGTATCACTGACTCCCCTGCTTATCAAGGTAAGAATATTCTGATTGTGGGAGATTCTCAGGTAAGATATATGGACCGTGCTTTCTGTAACAGAGATAGAAAGGTCAGACAGAGGATGCATCTCCCAGGAGCTGGTGTTGGTGACATAGTCAGCAGGTTGGATAATATTATGTCAGGCAATGGGAACAAGCCCATTATCTTAGTGCTGGTGGAAATGACATCGGGAATGGCAGGAGACAGGAGCTGCTAGATAAGTATAGGTCAGCCATAGATGTAGTCAAATCTAAGAGAGGGATCCCAATCATTTGTAGCATCTTGCCTAGAACGGAAGTAGGCAATGAATGGATGTCCAGGGCAATTGGTATAAATTGCTGGCTAGACAGGTACTGCAAGGAACATGTAATCCCGTTCATTGATAACGGACATATTCTATGGCAAGCATGATATGTATGCAAGGGATGGGGTTCATCTCTCTGGGGGCTGGAGTGGTTGCATTAGCCAATGCGATTGAAAGGGTCATTGATGACCTGTTTAGGACTTTAAACTGATAGATTATAGAGGTATGGGTATCTGTGGGAAACAATCAGGCTGCAGTATTAGGGTTGAAAACAGCAGATATAACCAGGATACCTCAGGGATATGTTTAAAAGACAATATTCAAAATAAAGTTCCTAGTAAAAGCAAATCAATTGATTAACAAAGAGAGATAGTAGAGGGCAACGAGTGACTAGCTCCCTTAAGGTTTGCTATATAAATAGTAGGAGTTTAAGAAATAAGATATAGATGAGCTAAGATTACTTGCAAGTGCAGTAATATAGATATTATTGCTATAAGAGAGACCTGGTTCAACTTGAAAGATAGAGAAATGCCCTCTGAATGCAACATACAGGGTTATAAATTATTCCATACTGATAGGGTCAACAGGAAGGGTGGTGGGGTGTTAGAGAAGATATAAGATTAGAAACATCAGACACAGAATCTGTTTGGCTACAGTTTCTCGAGGGTCGTGAAAAGTTAATTTTGGGTGTGATTTATAGGCCTCCAAACCTTGATAGGGAGGGCAGTAAGCTGTTATGGGACGAAACTCATAAGGCATCTAGAAATGAAAATATTGTGTTAATGGGAGTTTTTAACTTTAGACAAATTGATTGGAACAATGTGACAGGAAATCTTGAGTGTAGTGACTTTCTTGATACGGTTCAGGATTGCTTTTTAAAACAGTTTGTGACAGAACCAACTAGAGGAAACAATCTGCTTGACTTGGTTCTTGCCAACAAAGAATCACTAGCTAATAATCTTGAGGTTAATGATGAGCTTGGGGAAAGTGATCACAAATCACTTAGTGTCAATATATCATGGAGTTACCCGGATAACTGCATTCAAATCTCTGTCCCAGACTTTCGCTTGGCCGATTTCACAGGACTGAAAAATTACCTGGGTGGGCTAAATTGGGATGTCCTGACTATGGGTCAGGTAGGTGATCTTGGTTGCCAATATGACGTTTTTCAGAGCATAGTTCTAGCTGCCCAGACAACTTTTGTTCCGAGTAGGGAAATTAGATCTAACAAAAATGATCCCAAATGGATGAACAATAGATTAAAACATCTCATTGGTCAAAAGAGAGGCATATATAGGCGTATCAAAAGAGGGGATGGGCAGTTAAGAAATCAACATATTCAGTTAGAGAAATAAAAAAAGGTATAAGAGAAACAACAAGGGATTATGAGGCTAAGGTCGCAAGGGATTCGAAGACTAACCCAAAAGGGTTCTTTCAGGTATACAGAAGTACGATTAGGGACAAGACTGACCCACTTAAGAGTAACTCTGGTCAGATCACTGACAGTGATAAGGATATGTGTGAAATTCTCAATACCTACTTCCTGTCGGTTTTCACCAAGGAAAATACTAGCGATATTCCTGAAATAATAGATTATGTAGAACAGGATAATAAACTATGTATGATTGCGGTAACTAGTGACATGGTCCTCAGACAAATAGAGAAACTAAAACCTAACAAATCCCCAGGTCCTGATGAACTGCTTGCATGGGTGTTAAAGGAATGTAAAGAGGAACTTAGCATACCTTTGGCTAATCTTTTTAACATATCACTACAAACTGGCATAGTGCCTGATAAGTGGAAAATGGCAAATGTAATACCTATTTACAAGGCAGGTGACAGGTCCTTAGCTTCGAACAATAGACCAATAAGCCTTACCTCCATAGTGGGAAAATTTATGGAATCAATAATTGCTGAAGCAATTCGTAACCATCTCGAAAGGCATAAATTGATTAATGAATCTCAGCACTGTTTTACAAATGGGCGTTCCTGTCTTACGAATTTACTAACCTTCTTGACTAAGGTATTTGAGGAGGTAGATCATGGTATTGAATATGATATTGTGTATATGGACTTCAGTAAGGCTTTCGATAGAATTCTACACCAGAGGCTATCGAGGAAACTTAAGGTACGTGAAATAGGAGGAGAAATTTTTCCTGGGTTGAGGCATGGTTGACAAATAGGCAGCAGAGAGTTTGCATAACTTGGGAGAAATCAGAATGGGGGCATGTCACAAGCGGTGTTCCACAGGGGTCAGTGTTGGGCCCCTTGTTGTTCACAATCTACATAAGCGGTGTTCCACAGGGGTCAGTGTTGGTCCCGTTGTTGTTCACATTTTATATAAACGACAAAGATGAGGGAATAAATAGCGACATAAGCAAATTTGCTGATGACACCAAAATAGGCCGTCCAGTTCATTCTAATGAGGACATTAGAGCACTCCAGGATTATTTGAATAGACTGATGCAGTGGTCAGAGAAGTGGCAGATGCAGTTTAATATAGACAAATGCAAAGTTCTAAATGTTGGATAGGAAAATAACCATGCCACATATAAAATAAATAATGTAGATCTTAATATTACGGATTGCGAAAAGGATTTAGGAGTTCTGGTTAGTAGTAATCTAAAACCAAGGCAACAGTGCATTAGTGTTCGCAATAAAGCAAATAGAATCCTTAGATTCATAGCAAGAAGTATAAATAATAGAAGTCCTCAGGTTGTTCAACTATATATATCCTTGGTTAGGCCTCATTTAGATTATGCTGCACAGTTTTGGTCACCGTATTATAGAATGGATATAAATGCACTGGAAAACGTACAGAGGAGGATGACAAAGTTGATCCCATGTATCAGAAATCTTCCCTACGAGGATAGACTGAGGGCCCTGAATCTGCACTCTCTAGAAAGGCGTAGAATTACGGGGGGATATGATTGAGGTGTATAAATGAAAAACATGAATAAATAAAGGAAATGTAAATAGCGTGCTAAAAATATCTAACTTAGACAGGACTCGCAGCAATGGCTTTAAACTGGAAAAATTCAGATTCAGGAAGGATATAGGAAGCACTGATTTGGTAACAGAGTTGTGGATGAGTGGAACAAACTCCCACATGAGTGGGTGTGGGTGGGTGTGAGTTGGACCTGACTAGCTTGTGCTACTAGGTCGGATGCACTGCTTCTACCTTAAGTGACGTGTCTGACCTCACTAGGTCAAGACACGTCCAATTCTCCCGCTGGCTTAAGCTGGTGGGAGAATTGGAGCTGCCTCGCATAGGCCAGTAGGCCTGTTGCAGTGTTCCTTCTTTCTTATGTTCTTATGAAACGTTGCCACAATAAAATGTCACATTAGCTACACTTGTGTCCTTTTACCTACGTATTGTCTGTAATTCTACTGAGTTGCTGGCGTTTAAATACAGGTTAAATGCAATCATAGTTGGGTGACCTAACCTAACCCAAACCAGTGTAAAGCATATAAGCCTTTGGTCTAGGGTTGAGTCATACAGAAAGGAACGCACTGTAACGAGTTGGATAACCAACTTGCTATATATAAACCATATATATATGAAGGGTTCATTTTTAATGCTTTTATTCTCCTTAGGTCGTTGAGTTCATTTCTCACACCTGCTCTCGATCTAACATATTCACTTTACAGTCAAACTGAGCTCCAGTTCCACACCCACTATATGCAAGGTACAGAGACCACTACTCTCTCTCACTCGGTATCTAAATTCTTATATTACGACTCCAACATCCAGGCATCGACTCACAACAGCATAAATCAATAGCATTAAAGTAGGCGCTTCCATCCGAGCACCCAGCATGGAACTAGTACTAGCCCCAGGAACATTGTCAATCTCCACCAACCATGTACACCACTAGGCAATGACTTACACTATGGCTATAACTTATCAACCACAAACACTACCGCCTCTCACACCACCACCAACAACGAACCACTGACACCCTCCTTGTGTAACCTTCCTCTGCTAATCCCTCACAGGAATGGATAACCAGACAGCGGTGAAGAAAATACAACAAAGTTACCGACTACCGCAGCCAGCCTCCTGCCCCTGGGAGCTGTACAACATCATGTTCAGATGTTGGATGGAGAATCCAGAAGCTCGTCCCAGGTTCGTCGACTTAAAGGAAGAAATGAGCCGACTCACCACCATATTCTAACCTCATTTTCTTGTGATATTAGCCGATGATTCTCTTCCTAAATGTATTAGAGGATATTAATTTTATGTATTAATTGTGATCTCCTGGTGTGGACATGTAAATAACGGAGCATCAGTTAAAATTCACTCTCTGATGTCCTTTTCGGCAGCTTTAGTGCCCTTTTAGTTAATGTAATTGTACTGTTCTTTTCTGTAAACCAAAAACAGTAAACTTTTAAATTATCTTTTCCGGTGAACAACCTAAACATAAACATCCCCCATTATTTTTATGAACGACATGGTCAGTGTTATCACGATATTTCATAGTTCAGTTGACTAAAATAAAAAACGACCGGCTGGCAAGAGGCTAAATAATTTCCGAGGTCAGAAAAATCTGCCGTCATGTACTACCGCCATTGGTCATCTAACTAGAGGTACCTGAGGAGAGACGTTTAAAATGTAATCGTGCCGGGCTAAAATGTGAACAAGAACTTTTAATAGGAAAGGTGGAAGTAATAATACTGACTGCTGTAAGTAACACTACTATTACTACTACTACTCAGACCAATACTGTGCTCTGGATAATCAGTTGTCAGTCATCTTGGAATATTTCCTGGATTAATGTTAACTTCACTCTGTACATTTAGCTATTGAACTGTATTTGGTTGACTCTCATTACTGATGATTGGTTGTCCAACTAGCTACTGTAAGCTTTGGCGCTTACAACTTCCTACCAATCATACCCTCCAGATGCCAATATGGCAGCTGGAGGGTATGACTGGAATTTCGCTTTTTCTTATAATCGGGGACGAAAAACCTTAATTTCGCTACGTAGGGAAGACTCGTGATATTAAATAAAATTACTGAAATAAGTTTTGCTAATTTCTCCTTCCTGAAGAGATTTGATACATTTTCAAACAAGTGAGAGTTTCTTGCCTTGACATTTGTTTCTCGCAATTCCAATTTCATGGTCAATATTTATCCTATCTTTATCAGTTTCATGGTAAATGTCCTAAATTTATTAGTGACATCAGTCAACGTTGTGAATCATGGCCAGAGATTTTTTTTGTAGACAATCTGATAGTGTTTCTTGTCACCTCAAGAATAGAAATTAGCCATCTATTCCCTCAGACATTCAACTCTAGCAACTGCATTCCTTCTTGAGTGCCACCGCGCTTCAATGTGGAAAAGCAGTACCTCATATTCAGCATATAATTCCTGGCACAATAGACAAAAGAGCCAGCTACTGACAGGGTAAGATATGTTATGAAATACCAGTGACTTCTTCAGTCCTGAGGATGACGTTTGTGATGCAACGTATCTGCTCTGGCGTTTGTCATTTTGACAAACGCCAGTGCAGCTAAACTCCTGTGGATAACATGGAATACCGATGAATCATACAGTGTATGCTTGTTACATTAGGGTTCGTATCTTTCACTGGGCTAGTAAATCCTTGGAAAATTCTGAGCATATGTGGCGAGCCATCAACCTTTTATGATGCCGTACATTCTTCCATAACAATCCCTCATCTGGATGTAGAGAACTCTTCGAAAATATCTTCTCTTGTTGAGGCCTCGAACGAGTAACAGGAATTCTTGAGGTCTCAAACATTGGTATATCTTGTGAACACAAGAAAACGAGCACAGTTACCAATGTCTGTTGCTTCGTTGAGCTGTGTTGGGGATTTGCTCGTATTTGCTTCCACAATTTCATCAACAACTTGTTGTGTATCATCTGCCATCTCAGAAATTTTCCTCGGAAAATTGTTCCTGTTTGGTAGAGGTACAAATCAATCCATTTTATTTGTAGCACTAAATCCAATCATGCAATAATAATCTTTGCAGCAGGGAAAAAATAAGGGTTTCAAAAACTGTGTGTGGTTTCTTTTTCTTTATAATCTTCAGTGCTATCCCGTATGAGGTGAGAAACCCTACACGAGACTCCTGATGCTACTGACCAGATTACCAAGACAAGCTCACTTCACTCCAGCTTCCACACCTTGGAAGACATCAACATTATTTTAATTGAATACAGGGTTACACAACCACTGTGTAGTAATATACTGCAAGGTTGTGCCCGAGGGTTCTTTGAAGCCAAATTTCCTCAGTGATCGAGATCGTTTTGTATTCCGTTTCATTATTTATTTCCTCCATTCTTTCACAGCAGAGCAGTTGAAAAATATCCTCACTGAATATTATACTGTTGCCTGAGGCCCACTGGAAGAATTTTTTATTCTTTCTTGAAGATTCGCTATACCTTCGACGGACACCGTTTTTATTGAGATTCTGGTATTATCAGGTAAGGATGGTATAGCGTTATGAATTATGTCCTTATATATATATATATATATATATATATATATATATATATATATATATATATATATATATATATATATATATATATATATATATATATATATAAAGATTGAATATCAGATTGGAGGGAGTATGGAGGAGGTGAACGTATTCAGATATTTGGGAGTGGACGTGTCAGCGGATGGGTCTATGAAAGATGAGGTGAATCATAGAATTGATGAGGGAAAAAGAGTGAGTGGTGCACTTAGGAGTCTGTGGAGACAAAGAACTTTGTCCTTGGAGGCAAAGAGGGGAATGTATGAGAGTATAGTTTTACCAACGCTCTTATATGGGTGTGAAGCGTGGGTGATGAATGTTGCAGCGAGGAGAAGGCTGGAGGCAGTGGAGATGTCATGTCTGAGGGCAATGTGTGGTGTGAATATAATGCAGAGAATTCGTAGTTTGGAAGTTAGGAGGAGGTGCGGGATTACCAAAACTGTTGTCCAGAGGGCTGAGGAAGGGTTGTTGAGGTGGTTCGGACATGTAGAGAGAATGGAGCGAAACAGAATGACTTCAAGAGTGTATCAGTCTGTAGTGGAAGGAAGGCGGGGTAGGGGTCGGCCTAGGAAGGGTTGGAGGGAGGGGGTAAAGGAGGTTTTGTGTGCGAGGGGCTTGGACTTCCAGCAGGCATGCGTGAGCGTGTTTGATAGGAGTGAATGGAGACAAATGGTTTTTAATACTTGACGTGCTGTTGGAGTGTGAGCAAAGTAACATTTATGAAGGGATTCAGGGAAACCGGCAGGCCGGACTTGAGTCCTGGAGATGGGAAGTACAGTGCCTGCACTCTGAAGGAGGGGTGTTAATGTTGCAGTTTAAAAACTGTAGTGTAAAGCACCCTTCTGGCAAGACAGTGATGGAGTGAATGATGGTGAAAGTTTTTCTTTTTCGGGCCACCCTGCCTTGGTGGGAATCGGCCGGTGTGATAATAAAATAATATATATATATATATATATATATATATATATATATATATATATATATATATATATATATATATATATATATTTCTTGTGATGAATGGTTTGGTACATTCTACAAGATTGATGGACTGAACACATCGACTCCAGGCTGAGGGACTGATTACCTCACACTCCTCCTCTCCTTACGCCTTCCTCTTTGTATTGGACTGATGAAGCCACAGTGTGGCGAAACGTTTCCTGAATAAAGATTCCCATATGCTGCACAAGTGTCTCAATCTTCATATATTTCTTGGCACAATGGACAAAAGAGCCAGTTACTGACAGGGTCAGATACGTTATGAAATTTGAAATTTACAGGTATTTCATAAGAATGAGAAACAGAAAAGAGACAAATACTGTGCCTTGAGGAACAGATCTTCTCACTATGGTAGCCTCTGATTTCACTCTCTCTTTACTACTACACTGTGGGTTCTATTTGTTAAAAAAGTTAAATATCCATGTGCCCCCTTTACCATTATTCTTTTAGCGACACACTTGTCGAAGGTTTTAGTGAAATCAATGTACATGACATCAGCATATAACTTGTCTTCTAGTACAACCAAGAAAATGTCATAATGGTCTAGCAGTCGTAAATGGTAGGAACGAATTGCTCTAACCTCGTGCTGCCCTGGATTGTGCAATTGTTGTATTTCCATGTGATTGGCATCTTGTTTCTTAGGACCCATTCAAAGATTTTGATGTGTGAAGTTACCGTTCACGGTCTATAGTTTTTCGCAATTGCTTACTGCCACCTTTATGAAGTGAGGCAATATTAGTGTTTTTTTAATGTTTGTGGGATGACACCAGTGTCCAGGTTGAACATTAAAATGGTATAAAATACCGACAGGTTGTTAGGTAAGACACATATGCAACAGTTAGGTATCTTTATTTCGAAACGTTTCGCCTACACAGTAGGCTTCTTCAATCAAGTACAGAAAAGTTGATAGAAGCAGAAGAGACTTTAAGGGTGATGGACTGATTACATCGTCTTCAACTTTTCTGTACTCGACTGAAGAAGCCTACTGTGTAGGCGAAACGTTTCGAAATAAAGATACCTAACTGTTGCATATGTGTCTTACCTAACAACAGTGTCCAGGTTACTCCTCCATAGAATGCTAAAGACCCAAGTGGTGAAAATTTTAAACAGATCACAAGAGTGATGGACTGAACACATCGATTCCAGGTTGAGGGACTGATTACCTCAAACTTCTACTCTCCTTACCCACTTCTACTTTGTATTGGACTGATGAAGCCACTGTGTGGCGAAACGTTTCTTCAATAAAGATTCCCATGTGTTGCACAAGTGTCTCAATTCTTCATCTTGTCGGTTTTCAAAACCATTCATCACATCTACAACTCTGTTAGAAATCCAGTACTTACCTATGTCCTTTTTAAATCTAAATTTATCCAACTTAACTTCTCTAGCTTTTGTTCTCTAAACCTGGAAAAAGCCTTTCGGGTTAGGCTTTGAATCATTAGCTACTTTTACCCTTAAACTGTCCAAACAAATTTACATTCACATGCTTAGTGCTCCAAAAGTAGATCTACGTTTTTTCACATATTTTCAAATATAACAAAAAAAAAAAAACCGTAGATCAAAGATTTTTTTACACGTTTTCAAATGTAAAAAAAAAAAAGGATCTACATTTTTTTATATACTTTCAAATGTTGAAAAAACGTAAATCTACGTTTGGACAGTTTACGAGTTAATTTTGATAGTCCCGTTTAGCTTTCATCCCCCCTCCCTTTTCTTAGCTCGCTCTTAATGTATGTATATTGATCTACGAGATGATCCTCACTTCTTTCGATACACCTTATGAATTTATCCATTTCGGATCATTTATATTGGATCACATTTCTTTAAACGGAATAAATGTTCTCTGGGCAGCGTGTATAGTGTTTAGAAAACTGCCATGTTGATATTTCTCTTCGATTCCCCAGTCCACAGATGATAGGTGTTCTCTATGCGAAAATCCGGGACGGTTACTGAATTATCCCTGCTATCATACTTCCAATCGATACTGAAGGTAACTGATTTATGGTCCCTGGTGCCAAGTTCATCTGTAATCTGTAGATAAGAGTATCCTTGTTAGCCAGAATAAAATCAAACAGTTTATTTCCCTTCGTTGGTTCTGTCACAAACTGCTCCAAAGAACAGTCTTGAACTACCTCCAGAAAGTCGTTTGACTCAAAATTCTCAGTCAATGAATTCCAATCAATTTGACTGTTAAAATCTCTTATAATTACTACGTTATCGTGCCTTGTCGCCTTAATTTCTTTCCAAAGTGATCACTCTTGATCCCTGTCCAAGTTTAGGTGACGGTAAATCACGCCTAAAATTAATTTTTCATGCCCTTCCGAAAACTCTACCCAGACAGACTGTGTTCTTTC